TTATTTTCAAAAATAGAAAACAAAAAACAAAATGATTATCGAACAAGCTACATGAAACATGTTTTCGAAAGTCCACGAAAAAATTATTGCTAATTTTTTTTTTTTTGCTATACTTTTTAATGTAAATATAAAAAATAAAACAATCAGCAAATAAACCTAATTTAGAATACAGAAGAAAACACCGTATTTTGACGTATTTTGGTTACTGTTAAAAAAAGTGGCAACGGGTGCATTTGGATCACTCTTGAGAAAAATATTTTTTAAATAAAAACCATTTTTCCATGAATAATTTAGAGAGTGTCTTTTAATATATTTTTCTAAGTGATTTTATATAACTAAGTTTTTTTTAATCTACTACGTTCAATAATAAATAAATAAATAATTTAAAAATTTTGATTCCTTTGAACTCCCTCTTCGAAGAAACATACCACGATGTTTATCCGAAATTATTTTAGAGTAATTGACCATCCTAATTTAAGCATTTAAGAGGTAATTAAGCATACAAAATGAGGAAAACGCTAAAATTAAAAGATATACCAACCTCACATATTTTTTCTCTTTTTGTGTTTTTTTTTTCTTTAGTCAAAGTCCAGGCGAAGATAATCTAATTTACTAAATGTTATAATTATAACCACTAAAAAGCTTATCATCTAATTTTTCAATGCATTTTATAGGAATATAATCTTCACTTGTTATACTTAATTATTTTTCAATATTTTAAAGCATTGGAACAAAAATTAATCAAGTATGATCGATATAAATATTATAATTCAAACAAGGGATCATAATTCTAACCCACAACCTATAACTCAACATGATCGTGATTACAAAGTCAATTTACCTCCATTGAGAAGCGTGTGGCTGTTTTGGTAGGCATTACTCTTGTTCCAAACATGAGACTATGGCGTTTATAGATTGAAGTCGACTCCTACGACATTTTTTTCATGTTGGATCAAGAGAAGGTAAATTAGACGTGTTAGTACATAATACACTATAATAATTAAATGTCGTAGAGACATAATTAAAATTAATTTTCATACCTTCATATCTTTGAAGATTATTAACTTTTCCAAATGTGATGGAGACCAAGTGGTATACATTCTTGCTGAATAATTCTCTTTATCAACCGATGACTATGCAACTTTTGGATCTAAAATTGGCCAAGTGAACTCTCTTAATATATGTTGTGATTTTCTGTGGTTACATTCTACTATTCATTGATAATTAAATACAAGTTTCATATATTTATTGATAATTAAATACGAGTTTGTTTTTAGTATTTAATTTGAGAATTTAAGTCTTGAGAGGTTTTATTCCAAGGAAACGTACAAGAGAGACTAAATATTTTTAATTACTTTAGTTTTATATTAAAATTTCTAGATCTAAAAGTTTATATATATATATACATGCACCTCTCGTACCACGCTCTCAAAATACAACTCATATAACATATACAACATATTTTCTATTTTCTCAATCTACTTTCTTTATTTTGCTTTTCTAAGAGAAATGGGTTCAAAGAGGTGTATTCTTTACGTAAAGGTTTGAATCTCGTGGAATCACATTTCAAGCTAATTGTTTAAGTGTTTGTTTCTCAATATTTACTCCAATTACTTATCTATAATTTCCCCAACAATTTTAAATATATAGAAATGTAACTTCCAAAGTCAACGTTAGCATTAAACATATGTAAGTCGCATAGACATAAAGTCTATATCTATCTATACAATCTATATCTCAATTATATAACTAACCGTTTATTAATTTGAATTAAATGTCTTCAACAAAAATATAATATAATATAATCGTATCTAATTAATAAATTAAGTTAATTTAAGTATAACTAATAAGCAACAAGATGTGTTAATTTTTGGTACATAACTATAGTTTTTTTAATCCTAAGAGACGTAGGGTTCACGGGTTGGGCTGAGTCGGGTTAGAAGGAGTTTTGGGACCAAACTGAATTTTTGGGTTGGCCATATATATAGAAACCGTCGGGTTTGAGTTGGATGGTCACTCCAACCTAATATCTTCGTGTTGGGTCGGTTGTCGGGTAGTGTTTTTTTTTTAATTATCACGGCGGCGACAGAGAGTTTGGATTAAAACTAAATAGACGGTTGAGATTAAGATACAAAATGAAAGAATATAATATGAAAACTTTAAATGAAATGTGATGATTAAAACTAAATATACAGTTAACATTGAAGATAAACATATATATATTATATATAATTAAAAAAATACACATATATGCATAATAATTTAGGTTGGGTTGGTTTGAGTTGACCCGATTTTTTAAAGGTTGAACCCAAGATCTCGGGTTGGGAAAATCACAATCCAACCCAACCTGAGGCTTCATATAACTCAACCCAACCCTTACATACGGTTTGGATGTTGGGTTCGTTGGGTTGTCGGGTTTTTTGAACACCCCCTAAAAATAGGTCTTCAATCCTAAAAGAGGTCTTCTGCAAGGTGATCGTTATCTCCTTATCTTTTTCTCATTTGTGCGGAAGGCATATTTCCCCTTCTAACATAGGAGGAACAACTTCAAAACTTTTCAGGTTAGCGTATTAATAATTTATTGTCCTTCTATAACCCATTTGTTTTATGCAGATGGTAGCTTAATGTTTTTCAAAGCAAACTACCAAGATTGTCAAGTAGTCAAAAATATCCTACAAACTTATGAAAATGCATCTATTTTGAGAAGTCCATGTTTATGGTAAGTAAGAATACAACGGTTGGGATGATTGATCTTGTCGTTACGGGTTTGCGACATGGAGCGACCGACTTTCTTCCGGAGAGTAGAAAATGGAGTCGCCACCAGTCTTTATTTATAAGGTGTGACTGCGCACCCAAATACATGGATAAGTTGATCTGCACAAAAAGATTTAGGTTCGGTGGTTTTTAAGTATGGGGAAGGTATTAGCACCCCACAACACTCAAGGGCTATCTGGACACATACTTCGTGAAATGGTTCATGCATGCTTGTTGCCTGGGGCAACAAGATGGTTTTCAGTGCTGGTTATCCAGTTACAGAAACGACCCCATAGGCTTTCGCTTTCGCGTCTCTCTAAAATTGCAGTCATGGTAAAATCTTGGTTTATTTAATCATTAATCATCAGGGACTCCCAAGCACATGAATTATCTATCTTTTCTCCCACCTTCAGAAGAATAAAGTATAGGCATTCCACTATTGTTWCAATTTTCTGAAAGATAACTATCTCGGTTTMATCTAGAAATTTATATAGAATCCTTGAAAAAGACTTTCCTTCATAAGAAAGAAAAGACTTACTGTCTTTGGGATCTGATGCTACACCGCTGCTCAATATCGTAGGGGATCCACCCTATTACATAAGTGGATTCCTTCATTTTGATCTTATATCATGATAAAACGTGAGTCCGCGGGCCTCATATATCGGTCAGGTGGGGTACCCCGATGGAGACACGAGGCTCAATTTAGCTGCCACCTACTCGCTAACAATGAAATGAGTAGACGGCTTTTTCATAAGTAACTCAGCGCATGTGTGTCAAGTAGTCCAGAGGGAAAACAAGATAAAAGAAAGATCATGCAAGCAATGAGCCAACATAAAGAACCGCGCGATCCCATAAAGCGATTGCAAACATCTTCCAAATGGAAGGGAATCCGGCCCACTAGGGCCTTATCACCTTTCACCGGAGATGAAGACCTGAACGATAATTTATTTTTCATATTATTTTCAAGAAAACGGCTTGTAAAAAAATAATTTTATTTTTATTTTTAAACGTCTCATGTTTTATTGATTATTATTGGTAAAGTAAATAATGGATAATAATTATGAGTGGCCTAAAGCCATTAAAAAAATTTTGTTTATTTGAATTTAAATTGGCCTTCCAAAATAAATTCATCACCAATCTCCGTAATAGGAAATTTTTTTAGGAAAATATTAAAATAAGATTTCGAAAAATATTTTATTTTTTACTTTTAGAAATATCATGAGTGCTTTAAAAAATGTCAACTTTTTAGGTGGAAATGTCCTTATAAAGATTTTTTTTTATCGTTTAAATGTTTTTTTAGCAAACTTTTAAAGAAGATTTACAAAAACAAAATATATTTTTATTTTTTAAAGAAAAGATATTTATTTGCTTCAAAATATGATATTTTTTAGAAAAAAGAAATGTAAACAATTTTGTATTAGTATTTCAATTACTTTTTAAAACCAAACAAGGGATAAACGAGAAAACGACTAAAAATACATCATTCCATTAGGAAACATATTAAAAATCAAATCTTGACCCCCCGAAATATTGATCTTTACCCTCAAGAATCCAAGAACATCGACCTCCCGAACATTTCAAGGTTCCATCGTTGGGAGGTTCCTTTTGTAAAATTTGAGTTGAAGATATTTAATAAAATCAAGAAAAATAACATTTATTGTATAATATTACACAATATATACATTTGCCAAATTTCATACATGAAATCAAAATAAACATGTTAAAAATATAATCAATAAAATCACATGTTATAAATAGTTCAAGCAACCATAATATGAAATTGGCAATAGGGAAAAGGAAAAACAAGATGAAATAAAATAAGATAAGAAATATATCTTGAAAATAATGTCGAAAGAATTAAACTTGTACTTGGAGCGTAGGTAGGCACAAAAAATATATGACGAAATACGTCAACCTACTTTATTCGGCAAGAACATGGAAACTTACCGTTTTGCAAGCAAATTCCGATTCTTACCTCCTTCAAATGCGGCGCGAGTCAAATGATGAAGAAGAAAATGGTGGAGAAAATAGTGATAGAGCAAAAATTGGAAGAAAATGAATAACGAGAGGGGAAAAAATAAAACAAACGTAGTAACCAAAAAAAAGAAAGGAATAGGATGAAAAAGTTATGATGAGTGGAAGAGAGAAAATAAATAGAGAACGAGAGAGAGATCGTGTGGTGGAATATGAGCAACGAGTGAGGTGGGGTGAGATAGGAGTTTGTGAGAGAATGATAAAGTGATGAATCAAGATAAAACAAAAGGAAGCAAATTTTAGAAGAGAGCAAAGAATAAAAATCAAGACTAGTAGACCTCTTTTGTGATGGGTTTCCTCAATGGAAAAAATATTTTCATTCATTACACAATCAATCAAATCTTATGATTTTATTACAAATTTTGATTTTTACCCAAATTATGTTAAATCAAATTTAAAACTTTTCCATATGAGTAAGAGTTTATTTTTATTCTTATTGAAAAGATTTTATTTTGAGAAGACGTGGAAATTCACATTTAATAAAAAAAAAATTTATGATTTTGTCACTTTTTTTATTTTATTAAAAATGATTTTGATTCAAAATAATAATAATAAGGAAATCGATATTTAAACCAAATACTTTTTACTTTTTTATAAAAAAATATTTCCCACAAAATATAAACAAAAATTCTGTTGGAAAATTACTATAAGAATGATGAAATGGGTCTACAGATCTTATTAAAAATGAGCTTGGTATTACTTACACTAATTCAATGGGTCAATATCTTAGCCTTACCTTCTCAGATCTCTCCAAGTCATCAAGTTTTTAATTTCATAAAAGAGAGCGTCTGGAAGGTACTGCAAGGTTGGGAGGAGAAACTATGTTGCCAAAGCAAAGCTGGAGGTTACTTAAAAAACCAACAAGCCTTCTTGCAATAATTTTTAGGGGAAAATACTTCAGACGTGGCAATTTTATGAGAAAAGAAGTTGTTTGTTCAAGGGGGTAGATGGAGAATAGAGAATGGTTCACTAGTAACAATAGGAAGTGACCTTTGGATTCCACGTGCGGTACCCCCTGTAAAGATTACTGGGAGTGGCTATTTGTGAAGACGAGTAAAGCAGATCGTGAGAAGTGTATGATAATTGTGTGGTAAATCTTGGGAGGAGAAATAGAGTTATTTCCGATAGCAAAAGTATTCAAATAAAAATTGACAAATATATCGAACAAATCTCATGTCACAATACAAATCAAGCACAAGCACGATCATCTTCATTAAAACACATTAAACTAAGTAACAAAGTGACTTAGCATAATGAATTACCATATAAAATACATTTTGAACTGAAATATTTTCTTTGGAAGCTCTTATTTTATTGAGTTGATCTGTTCACTTGTTATTATGTCATGTTTAATCATTACTCTTTATTTTTCGAGGCAAGCACTACATCAAAATCTAAGCTATGTTGATTGCAATAGGCCGGATTAAATAGAATCAAAATAAAAAGTTTAAGAACATAATATAATTAACATTTTTTAAAAGAATTTATGGATTAAAATAAACACAAATTACCTTAAATTTCTGTTTTTGATGTTTGATTTTTTATTTATAGTTTTTAGTTTTCTAATTTTAAAAAACAAAAATCATATATGTTTGATAATAATTTTTTGTTTTTAAAAATAGAAAAATAAATATATTTGATAACCATTTTTAATTTTCTGTTTGTAGAAAGTTAGAAAGTTGAAAATATATTGGTAGATAGAGAAAATTTTATGTAGGATAGAGATGACAAGAGTGTGTCGTATGAGTGAGGATGTCCTCTCTCCTATTCTCGTGTTCGTGGAAATTTTTAGTCTCCTGTCTCTACTCTGTTATTTGGCTATGGGAATCGAGATTCAGGTTGAAGAATCCAGATTTGGAGACGAGGATATTTTCGGAAAAGATTATCGGTATTGTAATTAATTGTGATTATTTTTTTGAATTTAAAAATGAAAAAGTGCAATAAATATATACTAATTATTTTTACAATTATTATTTACTAGTATAAATAATTAGTTTTAAAAATATTTAATATTTTATTCACAATTGAGTAAAAGTGTTAACAAAATATATATTAATTCTTTAAAAAGTGGAATCAAGGACGACGTCGACCCCGTCCCTGATTTTTTAGTGGAGACCCGATCCTTTCCTACGAGAATTTTTGCCATCCCTAATGTAGGGACATGAAAATAGGAATTTAGAGGGATGAAAATAAACTTTTTAAAGAAAAATTATAGAGAAATAAAGAAAAAGAGAGAGAAAAAAAATTAAAGAAAAAATTAGTGAAAGAAAAGTTAGAAATAAAAAGAGAAAAAAAATTAAAAAAATAGTAAATTTGAGAGGAAAAGATAGGTTAAAGAACGAAAAAGAAATTAAAAAAAGAAAGAAAAATTATGGTCACGCAAGAGAGAAATTAAATATATACTTTTTTAGAGAAAACAAATAAATTAAAAGAGAAATAATAGTTCTAATGAAAAAAATTGAACGAGAAAATAAAATATAATTTTTTAGAGGAATAGATTAAGAAGAGAAAGAAAAGTTACCAAACGCGAAATTTTAAGATAGAAAACGTTGGGAAAATTATTAAATTTTGAGATAGAAATATGTTAATTTATTGAAAAATAAAACAAATTAAAAATACATAGACATGAAAATTTTAGGGAGAGAAATAATAATAAATATATAATTTTAGAGAGAAATAAAATTTTTAAAAAGAAATTAGGAAAGAAATTTACCAATTTATGTCACAGAAAAAAAAGAATGGAGTATTTTAAAAAATAGAAATATGCTTTTAAAAAACATTTTTTTATTTGAAATCTAAGTAGAATTTCAAAATCGTTTTTCAAAAAAAAATTTAAAAAAATGAATTGGTTACTATACAGTAATGTTTTTTAAAAACAAAAAAACATAAGAGAAAATGGTAATTAAAGAGACCATAAAAATTCTAAATTTAAAAATTAGTTACAAAGATTATCCAACCCCGAGAGAGGAATTAAATTTTAAACATATTAGAAAATCTCCAAAAAATTATAAGATTCTCAACTATTAAATGTCTGACAGATATTTACATTGACATTTGCATGTATCTATAAGTTCGACATCAACGTAAAGGATAAATCGAAATTTTCATGATATTAACAAAAATCAATAAAGTATAAAAAAATATCCTTAATATAGACATAATATATTAATATTAATCGTTTCTAATTATTTAAAAAAGTTGAAATGCGATTTAAATATTTTTTATGAATTTTTTAATTTTATTATCATTTTAAAAATTCTATCCATATGATTTTTAATAGATATTTTTATAAGATTGAGATATTAGCATTTCTATTTAATCCTATGTCAACATTTAAAACTTTGGTTACATTATCTTCTATGTATTCCTCCCTTTTAACAAACATTTTGCTGCCAAATAATATGTTTCTAACAAAAAATACCACCTTCGTTTTGCTATATTCTCTTTCTTTTTT